GGTATGATTTTTAATTTTAGTTCATTTATATGTTTTGGAGTTTAGTGTAACCTCCATTTTTACTGAACTAGAACACATTTTTGGTTAGGAGCCAGCTGAAGAATGCCTCCGGGTGCGGGATTTTCTCGCTGCGTTGAAAACCCATTGGTGGTCTTCGGCTGTTTACTACTCTGTGGTCGGGTTGTTGTCTCTTTGACACATTCCCCATTTTCATTCTCAATTTTATGTATAAACATCAGCTTTTCACAAAAAGATATTTTACACATATAAAATGATGTTGCTCATACCTAAACATTAGTATACAAGATTTGAATAACACTTTTCTGGCAGTTTTTTTTTTAATGTTTTGCACTAAATGTAATACATGTAAGTTTGAAGCCTTAATGTCAATATGTAGAAAAAAATCAAATCTACAAACACTGATATCTGACAGATTCATGTCTAAAGAACATCTTAAGAATATAATTTGAAAGGTTATATTTCTTTTAGATTTTCGAATTCAAGGGACCAAAAAAGAGACATATCATATACCTTCTCCTTTTGTTAAAAGTTTTGTCTTTAATTTCGATAAATTTGCATATATCTTACGTAATTTTAACTGTACCCCTGAACTAATACCTAAGACATTTTCGGCCATACATCTACATCCACTTCCCTCACCAACCCTATTTCCGCCCACAGATAAGTATCTCGTTTATGTTTATAAAAGAGGCAGAATATATAAAACGGACAATCAAAAAGCATAAGTCGAAGAAAGACAAACAGCACCAAAAATCTCACAAAAAAAACGAGGGTGACTTCAGGTAAGTAGATCCTGTTCCACTTATGTCAACCGTCTTGTGGCTCATGGCAAGTACAAATTTGGTGATCAATCCTATTTGGTTATCTCATATTCGATGAAAAGAGGACATAACGAGGCTATGGCAATTATCAATGAACAACTGTGACACAGATTTAGCATAACGGTCAATCTTAAATTATAATTTGAATTATAGTTCAAATAAGACATAGCAGAAGTTTACCAATGTTCAATTCTCGTAAATCCATTTTCAATATACAATCTACCGAAAATAAATGACGGAATATTGTGAACTCGTAAAGTAACGATGTCGTGTACATTTCCTTATTTCATAATCTCAACATAAAAAACACCGAATTGACTGAATAAGAAAAAAAAAGTGTTGATTTTATTTTTTGTTTGATTTCAAAAATAATTTCATATTATACTTATATAACTAATTTCTTTTCCCAATTCCTACAAACTGTTTAACGAACATATCGGAAGGTTGATTTGAAGCTTAAAACGAATTTTACACAATCTCAGATCTCTTTTTTACAGTGTTTCGAATGGATAGCCTATCACCGCCCTAAGTCTGCAAAAAACAATCAGGTGAGTACCTCTGCACTGTTCACATGAATATATCGTGATTACATGCTTTGAAAAAAGTAAAAAAATTAATGCGTTGTCTTGTTTTAGGAGACGTTAGTTCTGTAACTTTTCTTCTTTGTAGTTCTTTTGACAGTTTCTAGAAGAAAAATCTATAGGTCAGTCAATAAACATATTTTTATAAATGTTTACAAAAATGGTTTGTTATTAATTCTGACACGTTAGAAAAACAAACAGTAACAAAGGAGACCGGGACGATTCTCCAATATTATATATGACAAATGATTTAGGTTTTGTTTCAATATTTACAGAGCGGTACTTTCAAGAATGTTAATGACAAAAGTTTACAACGACCTCAGCGGGAACCAACATTAAGAGTTTCACTCATCATTGTAAGTTTAATCTAAAAGTATGCCTGATTTTCATGAATGGTATTTGGAAATAGACGTTAGATTCCAATGATTTCAAATTTGAAATAACGATTCCTTAAGTGATATAACTAAACGCTAAACCTTAACACATTTTACGAAAAGAAAGATTAAAAAACTTTTTTTTTTCATCCATAGAAAAAATGAACAGTTAGTTAGTTAACCTTCCGATTTGATTTGAGAGAGAGCAATGAAATTCTAATACAGAGTTAAAGAAATCAACGATAAAAATAGTATGATTCTTTGTCTCTCATACTCTTTGTCCCATCAATAATAATAGTCTCCAATGTTGATTTTACAGTATTTTTCTTTTTCTATTCCTTTAAATAAAATTCCAGGCAAGATGTTCAAACAGGAAACATAAGGATATTTTTTAGTAACAAAGTTTAGTATAGTTTAATTTTCGTGTTCATGACAAAAACATGAACATATAATTGACATTTTTGCACTGTAATTATTTATCGTATGTCAATTTTATACTGGTTAGGGAATGAAATTTATTTTTATTTCAAAGACTAATAATTTCTCTTTTATATATAGGAAGCACTATTTCATAAAGATTTGATATAATTACTGTTCCAGTAGCAGAAAAAATAAAATAAAAAACACTATTCAAATAATTTATTTAGTTTCGTATGTTGTATTTTGTATACTGTTGCTTGTCTTTTTTTTTGTTGACATGGCGTTGTCATTTTATTTTCGACTTATGAGTCTGAATGTACCTTTGTTATCGTTCGTTCTATTTTATAGCGAATTTAGTTTTACTAACACAGGGTTGGAACCCCTGAACGAAGATTGTAAGAAAAGCGTGAGTTAGTCATTTTTTGCATTTTAGGTGCCACCGTATGTATTCAAGGAAGAAAAAGAAAATAATGTCTTTTATTCTGGATATTTGATTGACATTTTAAATGATATATCTACATACTGCAACTTTACTTATACCATAACTGAATGTAGTGGTGGTGTACATGGCATCCAGGACAGTTCAAAGTGGACAGGCTGTGTTGGCGATTTGGTTAATCATGTAAGTCTACCAGGACATGTTATATATATATATATATATAGAAGCACAATACACTAAAAGAAATAAATTAAAAGTATTAAAATTTTAATATATAAATAGATAAATAATAAAGTACCATATCGTTAAATAAAACATCAAAATTCCTTTTTGATACTGTGTCGATTTTTTTTTTCATCCTGTCAACATCTTCGTCCTTTATTTTGCTTATTTGATTTTTGTTTAACCTTACATTTCTAGTTCAATTTTTAACAATTACAATTCAGGAAAAGCTAGATGACTCTTTAAGTTACCTTTTGTAGGAAAATCGGCTAGCATGAAAAATAGCAAAAAAGGTTTATACTCCGGCCATCCGGAAGAATAGCTTTTCTCTGCTATTATGCTATAATTCCGACCATACATAAACATGTATAATGAATATGTTTTTCGTTAAGTGGTTATTGTGGCATCCAATGGAGAATGTAGTGGAAAAAAATTCCTCCCATGCAAACACTGAGAATTGGAACTGTTCGTTTTTTGCTCGTTCTCTGCGCGGACGTTATTGATTATAAACTCAAGATAAAACGTTTTAGAAAATAGTGATAATGATGACAAAAAATAAATAAAAACAGAATCAGCATGGGATAAACTCCGCAAGTACCAACTTTGATTTATTTTTCTACCGGCTGTTCTATGGAACACGCATATGCCCCATAAATATAAACAGATTGTCAAATGACATCAAAAGAAGAATATCAACATCGATAGATGCAAAACATTGTGCAAAGAGTTTACGTTTACTAAAACAAACCAAATGCAAATAAATTTATTTCATAGTAAACAGCATATTCAGAATTTTTTTATTCTAAGGGAATATGGGGGGGGGGGGGGGGCAAAAATGCCTCTCCTCTTTTTATGTTATACCTATGAGTTTCCGACAAGGTTAGGGCCCTGATTTATGACTTCGATGGACATCTATGATTCATAAAGAAGATTTTGAATTTATCATTTCCTTGAAGTTTGGTTCCAATTCATATTCATGAAGTCGTCAAATGATTTTGCACCATTTTTTATCTAAAATGTTCGGTGATTTTTAACACATAGAAAATAAAAGAAAAGGATAGGCACTGCCCCCAAAGTAAGATTGTGTTTATGATAGCAAAAACATAATATGAGAAAATAAATAAAACAGAATGAAATAAAAAAGGGGGTTATACCCCAACCCTGGTATACTTTCACAGGCACTAGTCTCTGAATTTGTTTTACCTTTATACTTTAATACAATGTTATATTAAAGTATATACTAGGTATTTTTTTGCAGAGACAAGTGCCTGTGTATATTATTCCCAGTCAAGGCATATCAGTGAATGTTCACAGATCTCTGTTGTAGTAGAACTTAGAAATAATGCATCCAAGTATATTTGATTTAGTCGTTTTTCCTGTGAATTGTTTTTGAGCGTTTTGGCTCCATTGATACAGGTAAAAGTAATCGGGTAAATCAGCAATTTCAGTTTGATTTTACGCTTTGTTCCCCTAAGTTTACGTGCACATGCGATTGTTCTGGAGTCTGTCCTGTTTTGAAAGCAATTATATAGGACATCTTTAAATAACACATGTATAAATCACGATCTCCAAATTTCAAAACGTCCATTGCATACGCGCGTTTACAATCCGACACCTCATCCGGGACACTTTTCACGCCACATGACACTGCTGTTGTTATTGAACATTTGCGCGTGCACACACGGATGGCCGGATAAATAGAAATTTTCAACTATGCTACCGGCTAGCTGGAACAATAGACGTATTAATTATGTGGAAAACAAAGGGGCCTGGAATGGTGAAATTTTCAAACAACATCATTGTCCTATATTAGTTATATATAAAGTTGAATTCCTTGATTCGTCGTTTTTATGTCATGCTGGCTTACAAAGTCGACCTCGTTATTTTAGTAGTATACATGTTCCTCCGAGATAAATTAGATATCCTTAAAAACAAAACAGTTTGTTGAAATCGAAATCTAAATTATTATCACTTTTAATATGAACTACATGTGAAATTACAATTTTAAGTAAGAAACTTAAAGTTGTTTGAAAAAAAAACTGCATACATTTAGTAATATATTTATAAATATTATATTCATGTTTAATCATGTTTTTTTGTAGAAAGTAGACATAGCCCTGGCACCTTTAGCAGTTACCTCAGAACGTGATTCTGTTGTTGATTTTGTAACGCCCTACTTGGGAACAACTGGTTTACAAGTACTCAGAGTTCGCCATACTCCAGCGGCGTTTATATTCTTAGACGTCTTTTCTTTATCTGTTTGGCTGTCGTGTTTAGTGGTTTTACTTTTAACCAGCATTCTATTGTTCATCTTTCAAAAATATACAGCCGAAAACATCCACAGTGATTCCTACTCATCAAACAAGACATGTTTTGGAGACGCAGTGTGGTTTGTTGTTTCTTCTCTATGTTTTGAAGGTATAATTTATAATAAACGATATGAAGTTAAAAAAACACCACAGGGGCACTCAAACATCGAGTGTTTAAGTGGTACTTCCGCCTCTTTTTAAAATGAAGTTTTCGGAGGTCATGTCGATGGTTTATTAGATGGTGTCTAGTCTAAAATTCGCAAAAAATGCTGATACATTATAACGAGTGTATGCATTAATTGTTTCTTTTTTTACTTTTTGTAATTTGGATTTACGTTTTACTATGTTATAAATCAAATACGAGAAATTAATTTAAATCGGTGATCATGAATTTGACAGCTAATGCTCTTTCAATCTTTGTTGGTGTTTTTAAACTTCCTGGTACAATGTAGGTGAACATTAGATTCTTGTTCTTTTTAGATGAATACGTAATATAAAAAAAAGAAGGCATTGGCAGTCAAATAAAACAAAATGACAGTTATCTGATACATGTAATATGTTTAAATTTATCATACAGGAAAACGAGAGGACTCCTGAAGCACCTGTTACAAAACTCTTATGAAATTTAGGTACGCTTGTTCCCAAAATTGTGACAAAGCAAATGCATATTATTAACTTGAGATCATTAAGTTCTTCGCAATATTTTACACAAAAAGAGAAATAATTTTTTGTTTGTGCAAAGGGGTTAACCTCGATTACTACAGCATAATGTCAAATCAATCTAAAATGCGTCATTACTTTAATATGTAGTTTTCCAACTTTGTATTGAATTACTGGTAAGAATGAAGACGATGACTTATTAAACGCTAAACAAAACTTTCTCTTGAATGTTTTTGGAGTTACGGATCTTTATTCGGGATTGATTAAAAGTGTCTTTTTTCAGGTTGCAAATAAAAAAATCTTTTAATTTTTGAATTCTTAACTGAAGAGCATTCAATGACCGTTCAGATTACTTTTCCCTAACGTTTCATTTGTTTTTAATTTCCTGTTAATGTTTAAGAGTTACGGACATTATTTTCCAAAATAAAGCAATTCTTCCAAAATTGAAAAAAGTTAGCAAAAATAGCTATGTATGTAAACTGCAATATTTTATGGCTGTCAGATAAAGGATATATTCATACTTTAAGTTGCTAACTTTAAGGTCATTTGGTCTCTTGTGGAAAGTTGTTCCATTGTCAGTCATATTATATTGTCTTATTTTTAAAGTTATGTTTTTTGGTTAAATAAGATTGATTAGTGTCTATATGTACTTGAATAAGAATAAAAAGAAAAAAGATACCATAGGGTCAATAAAAATTCTTACGTTACAGAAATTGATTTCAATTTTTTCATTGTTTACTTTAAATATTACAACAACCTTTCCTTTTCCTTGTTCGTGAAATATTCCAGACTTGCAACATCTGTCATGAGCCTGAAAGAAGATTGGCATTACAGGAAGTTATTGAATCAATTGATCGTAATAGTAAAATTGAATTTATCTCGCCGAAAATGTTCGAGCACTATTATTATTTGGTTGACTTTTATGGAATATCTTTGTCTAAGATGACCAGAGATATGTTCCACTTGTTTCCACAAACACATCCTGTTTTCCTTGATTTTCACATCCACGAATGCAACTTTCATCAAATACTTGACTTGCCGAACGCTGGATTCTATTCTTGGAGGAGTAACTGGTTATCTTTCAAAAACACCCGAGTTTACCCAGTTTTTTTTGGTTGGGTTCGCTTTTTTGTAACTTTTCTGTGTATATTTTTCTTTGTGGACTGTGGTTTGTCGTGTTTTGTATGTTGTGAGGACCGACCGTGCAAGACCTTCGTGGGTAGTAAAGGTCGTTTAAAAACCACCCTCATCACATGTTGTATTTCTTTTTACTTATGGTTTTTATTGCTCCTTTGGTATCTTTTTCCTTATTTATGTGATTCAAAAGTAGCAATACGTGCGTTATGCGATTGCATTTCATTTTACTGTTTTGTTTGTAGGTTGTGACAATTCATGGTTAAATGGATATTCACGGATCTTAATAGCTGGATTATGGTTTTTCTCTTCAATATTTATGGCCTGCTTCACAGCTAACATGGCTGCCTTTCTGACAAATCTTCGACTGGAAGATGATAGCAGTACGGTTTTAAATGAACTCAAAAGTGATGCGACTAATTTTACGGTTGAAGCGGGTTCGTGGGAAATGGAATATATTAAAAATCTTGCCGAGTACGAGCAATACTTTTCAAATATTTGGAAAAATTTTGTGACCGAAAATATATATAATGTTACAAATTATACAGTATGGTCATTTCCACTGAACATGATGTTTACAGATCTTCAAGGGAACATAAATCGAAATCCATTACCATCTTCACTCGATTCAGCGTTGACATTTTTAAATAAGGGATATGAAGTGATTGTTGATTCATCTGTAGCTTCATTTTTAACAAATAAAAACTGCAGCCTAGAAAAAGTGTCGAATCCAATCGCTATACATCCTGTTGGACTTGCTATCTCTAAAGGCTCCAAGTATAGACAAATCATTTCAGAAAGGTGAAACTTTAAATGAGGCATCATTTATAGTTTGCTTATTTCAAAGAAATTATAGCAATCACATGTCATATGCTGTAAAATAAAGTATTATATAAATCAGTAAAAAAAAAAAGACTAATTTCCATTTAAAAGAATATAAAGCTCATTAAATTCTTGAATTTTAGCTATTCCAAAAAAAATATATACTGTGGATTTGTAAGACTTTTTAACATAGTTTATGGTTTCAATTGTGCAATGTTAAAAAGCTCCACAGAATTTTTTTACTGAAACATTTGAATAATATTTACTCGAGTGACGGACTATATCTTACCCGAAATTTAGTGTGATTAAAATAACATTACCATGCAAGTCAGTATGACGTATTTGCCGCACCGATTTACATGAAATTATTTATTAGAGCAGTCAAGAAAATTAATTCCCCGAGCTGTTGCCTGCACTTACAGTCATGTTGTTATAGTGCCTATACGGTCTATATTTTAGGAAATTATGTGCATTTGTCACAAAGCAAATTACGTTCCATACTTAGAATGTAAATTCAAATGTTTTTGCATCTGTTTGGTTTCAACCAATGCTACTGCATACTAGTCGTCATCAGGTGCCTGGTTAAATTCTAAACTTAATTAACAAGTTTTTATGAAATGATTAGAAGAGTGTCTTGGTACATTTTACATGTACACCAATGGCTGATTAGGATATAAATATATGGTTGACCGAATTTCTCCCATCCAATAGTAAGTTCCATGTTATAGGGCTTCAATTGTCCGGGAATATTAAATACGTACCCATGCATGTATGATAAGAATAAGGACGTTAATCTTAAGTCCCATGTTAGGAAATTGCAAAGCTCTATGTATGTAAAGAAATCCTTACAATACCTTTAAAAGAGTTCATTGTCGCCTATCATAAATGTCTTGGCAAAATTTCTGACGCTATCCAACATACTATTTTTGTTAACTGGTCGTTCTCGTCCTTGATATGTATGAAATATTTTGTAAATATACGTTAAGCAGGCCATAAGTAATCAACCAATATTTTAAGATATTAAGATTAGCCTTAGATTTACATTAGTATAATCCTTTTTGGAGAACAACATTTCGTATACTTTTTTTCAGGTTACTTTTTCTGCAGCAGACTCAAACATTTGATGTTCTTAAACGTAAATGGTGGCAGGAAGACTCACCATGTACTTCTCTAGAAGAAAACAAAGGTCTTTCTATGAAAGAACTACAAAGTAGCTTCTATGTTTTAATATTAGGAGTAGTTACAGCATTTACCGTACTAATAATTGAAGTGCTATTTAGAAAAATTAAACGCCAGGTATGTTGACTAATATCGAAAATGCAGTACAGATTTTGGACAATTCAAACGTGAACATATACATGTACACCACCAACCTAAAACACCATGGATGACCGTTAGTTGGTCTCACCTTTCGATTAAGATAAACGTTGTGATGTTAAAAATCATCTAAATGAATTTTACAGCCTAAATTGTACTTTGTGTCTAATTAATAATTTTTTTTTTTTTAAATTCGATAATTCGACTCATAATCATAAAATAAGGATCAATGATCATTGATAATTTCAAAGGAAAGAACTTTTAAATGTACAATTAATGGTGAACTTTAAATTATTTTTCAGAAGTATAACTTTTCAGTAAACAAGAGGGAAAACAGTGGAAATTCCCAAACCGACCATTTCAACGATACCTCCTGTGAAAATAAGGGCATTGATATAGTAACAGAAACATACAGCTTGGAGGGAAAAGTAGATTACAGTAATAATGGAATTGACATCGGTAACAGAAATGGCAATAGAGAAATCGAAATAACGACATATGCTCTTTGATAATGATCTTTTCTATGTCTATAATGGTTGAATAATATATTTTCTAAGCATTTTGTTACATATAAAATTGTACCAGTTTATCCATCAAACTGCATGTAGATTGCAGTTTGAATGTTTTTTTTAATAAATAGTGTCTTTATAAGGATATATGATCTTTGTGGATACTGCACAGTATCATAATAAGAAGTAGGAGATGCCAAAACCATTGATAAGTGGCAGAAAAAAAACGATAATACAACGACAAACAACTTAAAATACAAAACAACAACTCTACCAAAGATGACATAAAAAATAAGCAAAATGAAACCCCCAAAAAAGACGGTGTGTCTTTAATGCCCATTATGAATAATCCGACCCTGATACATACGTGGCACCCGTCGTTGTTTATGGTAATTGCAAATTATGAGAGAAGTCTCTTTCACGCGCGAATTCACAATCGGGAAAAAAATATATTTCAGTTTCTCGAGTCATTTTTTTTCAAACTTAAGATAAAACAGGGGTGTTTATATTTAACCTGTACATCTCAACAACCTGACCAAAAAATTAGTTATGTTTGTTTATCTATTAAGTTTTATTATTTCCCCCCTTTGTACCGCTGGTAATCTGCAAGAGAGCAGACATTCTATGTGGAAATTTCATAATGCACGAATATCTCTAAGGGACGATGTTAAATTTAATATGCGATTTGTGGCTTTAATAAGGTACCTATTCGACGTGTACATTGTGTGCCTGAGAAAGGTTTTATTCAGGATATTTATGTCACATAACCCAGAGTTACTTGTACAAATAGCCAGCAGTGGATTCCCAAGAAAACTTTTTTTGTTCCATCCTTCCTTTGGTCTCTTATTATTTGAAAAGGAACGTAAAGCTTCGGAAGAGGTGTTTAAAAATTTAGATTTAACCTTTAAACTCCAAGGCAAATTCAAAACAGGGAAGTCCTTAATAACAGAAAAAATCTAACGCTATCAATCAACGTTACAAGTGCCATATTCCTGACTTGGTACAGGCATTTTAAGTTAGTCTCTTTAAGAAACAATTTATTCATGAACTTTTCAAACTTGTTATGTGAATTATTGAACATGTACTGCTAGAATAACAAGTTTTGTCGTTTTCTACATACATTTGCAATGAGAAAAAGCTATATCTTTTCATTATCTGATTCCAAAGATTTTAATTGCTAATGTATTACCATTCTTTTTGATTGAAAGAACAGAATATTTCATTAACGTGTCTATCTTCTGAAGTTCGAGTTTATCTCTGCATCTGTTGTGGTCTTCGTTATCATAATACTCCATCTTTCGTTAAATTGAATTGCCATGTTCTGCTTACCCCCGACAGACACATTTAAGTCAACAATGCCTTGATGCCTATGAAACCTAAGCACAGTAATTATCGAACTAAACAATGATTTCTGTAATTTCTAATCGTGATACTTTCAATTAATCTTTCGTTCAAATACAATGCAAAATTGATTAGAAATACAAACCTCAAGTTGATACCAGTATTCATAGTGATATGTGAATTGTCATAAAGTGTCATCTTCTGGGTAAACATTATTGAACACTCTCTGAACAACAATCAAAGACAACCTTCATACTTGATATGAATGAACATAATGAAGGCCAAGTTGAATAGCACCTATTTACAATTAGCTGAATAAACCTTTTATGATCATTTCAAACTGATTTAAGTTTATTTATTCCCTAGTGAATAAATGCGAAGTGATTTCAAGGTTAGAATGTATAAACTTTCCTTGCTCTATCGGGATGTAATTTACTAAGTGGATATTATCGGCTCTGAAAAATCATTTCATACGGAGTTCATTTGGCTTTGCGAATATGTCCGGTCAGAAAATATGTTGGTAAACCCGATACACCAAATATAGGAGAGTATTACGCTTTCGGAACATTAAGCAACCCTTTCAATTCTTCTTGCAAAGCTTTTCTGTCTTTATCTCGCATATCATTTTAATATACTTGTAGCAGTCCAAATTTTCTGTTCTCTCAGTTGATCCAGTCTTCCGAACCTAGCTTATATTGTTTTAAAAATATATTTGTGTTGAAATTCTAGCTGAGTGAATTATATTTGACACTGAACTGATATGTAAGGATGAAACGAACTGAAAACAAATCGACTATTCTATATGTTTGTGATGTTTTTTGGCGTAAGTGTTAATTGTCATACAACTTGGATAGTCGAGATCGAACAGTTATTCAGGAAAATAACTAATTATTTTACATCAATACAATTATTTTCCAAAAAACTAACAAATACAACATATGTAAAAGTAAACATATAACAAATGAAAGTATCGTAATTAAGCAATTAAGCTTATAGAATTCACATATACAATTATCATAGCATCAGTGATTAGTTACATATGTGTTTTATGATTACAAACTAGTTTAAATCATTGAATCATCGGCGGAAAATGACAACAAATAATATAAATAATGGAATATAAGCATTATATTATGAAAACGAATTGAACCAGCTAAATAAATGTTTTTACCTAGATTGTAAAGCTTTTTGATGTTATGAACAGACAATAATTGACTGTATAGATTTTTTACAAAAGTGGTTTTATATTTATTTTTTCTTATATCAAAATATTGATCACATACCGAGTTTCTATCCCAGGAATAAATAATCTTAGCTGTATTTGGCAAAACCTTTCGGAATATTTTGCCCTTGAGCACCATTTACTGTAAGCTGATTAATGTTTTAATGATAATTTCAAATTGATTTCAGTTTATATGTTCCCTAGTGAATAATTGCAAAGTGATTTCAAGGTTGGAAGTATAAACTTGTCCTTCTGTTTATCAGGACGTTCTCTTAAATGTTGCACTTAATTTACTTAACGGTTATTATCGGCTCCTAAAAATTGATTTCATTTGGCCTTGATACGGAGTTCATTTGGCTTTGTGGGTGCGTCCGTACAGAATGTTTGGGCTTAACCCCATACACCATGTTAGGATCAAGTGTCACGCTTTCAACACGTTAAGAAACTATTTTAACAATTATTTTGGGAGACCGCATCTGTCATGTTGCAAATCTTTTCTGTCAATATACAGCATACGAGTTTCATGTTTGTCGCAGTCCAAAGGAGTAGGGGCAAGAAGGCCTTTATTTGGCACAAATATTAGTGCAATTGAAAAGTAACCATACATATTCATTAATTTGTCCAAACTACACTAAGGTTCAAGGTGTTTAGAAAATAAAAACAAGTTTCACATTTTACGAGTTACCATGGCAACAAACTATGAGAAAATGTGTATATTTAGAAATATTTCATGATTTCTTTGTTTTATGTCAACCTTTTGGTATATATTAGATTGGAAAAATTTATTGCACACCAAAGAAACAACTTTATATTTAGTTAGAATATGTCAAAAATGAAAATTAAGCATCTCTTTAAATATTTTGTTGTTTCTTGTCAGCGCATGATGTTTCCTCAAAAGAAATAATGAAGGAAAACTACTTTAACTTAGCAAGTTTCTTTGTTTTCATGAAATTGGTGCATTTTATGACCTAATTGTGACGTCAAAAATATCAAAAATCTAATGTAATTTATTTTTCTTGAATTTATGTTTTTCCAAATAGTATGTGCAAATTTGATATAGTTCTCAATACTTTATTTTCTTGGGCCAAAAGCGGAGTTAATCGGCCTTTTGTTCTTTCAGTTGATCCACTCTGCCGAACCTATCTTGCTTTGTTTTATATTTATTTTGATTTTTTTGCTGAGAATAACATACAACATATTTACCACCGATGTGCAGTATAAGGGTGAAACAGACTGAAATCAAATCAACTAGTTTTGTATATGTATGTGATGATATTTGTCTTAAGTGTTTAGTATCATACAACTTGGTCTTGCGGGATCGAACAAATATCAAGAAAAAGAAATGGTTAGTTTACACCGATACATTTTTCCCCCTAATACTAACAAATTCAACATTTGTAAAAGAAAACATAAAACAAATAAAAGTATCGTAATTAAGAGATAAAGTTGTGATAAAAGTGTTTGAGTACAAAGAAAATAGGAAGCCTTTAAATATAGCTATATATAAAGTGTATGTATAATATTTATTCTCTATAAACAACCCATTATAGATAAAAAAAATAATCTTTTATTCAAATGCAACAAAGCTTATAGAATTTTACATAAACAAATATAATAGCATGATTGATTAATAACATGTGTTTTTTTATAGGTACAAACAAGTTTGCATCTTTGATTTCATCGGCAGGGAATGCAAAAAATATTATAAAATAATGAAATATGAAAAAGATATTGATATGAATAAAGAATCGTATCATCTAAATAAAGGTACTCAACTAGATTGTGAGCTCCTTGATGTTATGTACGGACAATAATCATTCAACTTTATAACAACATGTGTTTTACCAAAAAAAATATTGTATATATATATTATTAGTTACATGGTGTGTTAGTGACCTAATACGATATATATGGGGTCAGTAAATTCCATATGGGGTGAGAGCGAAGCTCGAATCCCCATATGGAATTTACTGACCCCATATATATCGTATTATGTCACTAGCACACCGTGTAAAGAATTTATTTTACCGACTATCTTCCCATGTGGTATTAAGACTAGCGGCCTATCAAAGTGATTTAAAAGACTTCAATACTTAATTTTAACATGTTTAAGAGCCTACTTCCATTTCTCTATACAAAAAACAAATGCCAACAATAACAACGTGCTAGTTTTAAAGTTGTTTTATGAATGTATTTCAATCGTTTATTACCAGTTCCTTCGTCTGTTTATACCTTTCAGGTGTCATTTTTGTTTTAAAAGGGAAGTAACCCCTTACTAACCCCATATGGTTGCTAACCGTATATGGTAACTAACCATGTATTTTTTAGGAC